ACAGAAATGCGTAAGCTCTCATCTGATTGGTTAATGCAAAGGTCGCCTGAACATGACCCTCTACGGGATGTTGTTAGATCTTCAATGCGACATATCAGTAAACGGGAGCGATGTGAAGATATAATTTTAATTAGATTGATGGTAAGATGATGTGTGTATGTTTTTGGGATTAATGGTAAGGTTATGTGTGTATGTTTATGGGATTAATGATAAGGTGAAGTGTGTATGTTTATGGGATTAATGATAAGGTGATGTGTGTATGTTTATGGGATTAATGATAAGGTGATGTGTGTATGTTTATGGGATTCATGGTAAGGTGATGTGTGTATGTTTATGGGATTCATGGTAAGGTGATGTGTGTATGTTTATGGGATTCATGGTAAGATTATGGGTGTATGTTTATGGGATTAATGGTAAGGTTACATGTAGTTTTGTGAGTTTGATTGACAGGTTTCCTTTGTATGAGATTGGTGGTTAGGTTATGTGTATGTTTGTGAGATTGTTGGTAAGGTTACATGCGTTTTTGTATGAGATTGGTGGTAAGGATATATGTGTATTTGTATGAGATTGTAGGTAAGGTTACATGTGTATGAGATTGGTGGTAAGGATATATGTGTATTTGTATGAGATTGGTGGTAAGGTTACATGTGTATGAGATTGGTGGTAAGGTAACATGTGTATGAGATTGGTGGTAAGGTAACATGTGTATGAGATTGGTGGTAAGGTAACATGTGTTTTTACACATGTAACCTTACCACCAATCTCATACAAATACACATATATCCTTACCACCAATTTCATACACATGTAACCTTACCTACAATCTCATACAAATACACATATTATCCTTACCACCAATCTCATACAAAAACACATGTAACCTTACCAACAATCTCACAAACATACACATTACCTAACCACCAATCTCATACAAAGGAAACCTGTCAATCAAACTCACAAAATTACATGTAACCTTACCATTAATCCCATAAACATGTAAGTTTTTGGGATTAATGGTAAGGTTATGTGTGTATGTTTATGGGATTAATGATAAGGTGAAGTGTGTATGTTTATGGGATTCATGGTAAGGTGATGTGTGTATGTTTATGGGATTCATGGTAAGATTATGGGTGTATGTTTATGGGATTAATGGTAAGGTTACATGTAGTTTTGTAAGTTTGATTGACAGGTTTCCTTTGTATGAGATTGGTGGTAAGGTAAAATGTGTTTTTACACATGTAACCTTACCCACAATCTCATACAAATACACATATATCCTTACCACCAATCTCATGCAAAAACACATGTAACCTTACCAACAATCTCACAAACATGAGATTGGTGGTAAGGTTACATGTGTATGAGATTGGTGGTAAGGTAACATGTGTTTTTACACATGTAACCTTACCACCAATCTCATACACATGTAACCTTACCACCATTCTCATATACATGTAACCTTACCACCAGTCTCATACACAAACACTTGTAACCTTCCCACCAATCTCGCAAACAAACACATGCAACCTTACCATCAATCTTATACTCATACACATGTAACCTTACCACCAATATCATACAAATACACATATATCCTTACCACCAATCTCATACAAAAACGCATGTAACCTTACCAACAATCTCACAAACATGCGATTGGTGGTAAGGTTACATGTGTATGTGATTGGTGGTAAGGTTACATGTGTATGTGTATAAGATTGATTGTAAGGTTGCATGTGTTTGTTTGTGAGATTGGTGGTAAGGTTACAAGTGTTTGTGTATGAGATTGGTGGTAAGGTTACATGTATATGAGAATGGTGGTAAGGTTACATGTGTATGAGATTGGTGGTAAGGTTACATGTGTTTGTTTGTGACATTGGTGGTAAGGTTATACATGTATGAGATTGATGGTAAGGTAACAAGTGTATGTAAGGATATATGTGTATTTGTATGAGATTGGTGGTAAGGTTACATGTGTAAGTGTATGAGATTGGTGGTAAGGTAACAAGTGTATGTGTATTAGATGGGTGGTAAGGTTACATGTGTAAGTGTATGAGATTGGTGGTAAGGTTCCATGTGTTTGTTTGTGAGATTGGTGGTAAGGTTATACATGTATGAGATTGATGGTAAGGTAACAAGTGTATGTGTATTAGATGGGTGGTAAGGTTACATGTGTATGTGATTGGTGGTAAAGTTACATGTTGTTGTTTGTGAGATTGGTGGTAAGGTTATACATGGATGAGATTGGTGGTAAGGTTACCTGTGTATGTGTATGAGATTGGTGGTAAGGTTACATGTGGATGAGATTGGTGGTAAGGTTACATGTGTATGTGTATGAGATTGGTGGTAAGGTTACATGTGGATGAGATTGGTGGTAAGGTTACATGTGTATGTGATTGGGGGTAAAGTTACATGTTGTTGTTTGTGAGATTGGTGGTAAGGTTATACATGGATGAGATTGGTGGTAAGGTTACCTGTGTATGTGTATAAGATTGGTTGTAAGGTTACATGTGTATGTGATTGGTGGTAAAGTGACATGTGTTTGTTTGTGAGATTGGTGGTAAGGTTACATCTGTTTGTGTATGAGATTGGTGGTAATGTTACATGTGTTTGTTTGTGAGATTGGTGGTAAGGTTATACATGTATGAGATTGGTTGTAAGGTTATATGTGTATGTACTTGGTGGTAAGGTTACATGTGTATGTGTTTGATATTGGTGGTAAGGTTACAAGTGTATGAAATTGATGGTAAGATAACATGTGTATGAGATTGATGGTAAGATAACAAGTGTGTGTGTATGAGGTTAATGGTAAAGTTACATGTGTATGTGTATGAGGTTGATGGTAAGCTTAACTGTGTATGTGTATGAGGTTGGTGGTAAGTTTACATGTGTATGTGTATTAGATTGGTGGTTAGTTAACATGTGTATGAAGTTGGTGGTAAGGTTACATGTGTATGAGATTGGTGGTAAGGTTACATGTGTATGTGTATGAGGTTGGTGGTAAGTTTACATGTGTATGTGTATGAGATTGGTGGTTTGGTAACATGTGGATGAGATTGGTGGTAAGGTAACATGTGTATTAGATTGGTGGTTAGGTAACATGTGGATGAGATAGGTTGTAAAGTTACATGTTTATGAGATTGGTGGTAAGATTACCTGTGTATGTGTATTAGATTGGTGGTTAGGTAAAATGTGGATGAGATTGGTGGTAAGGTTACATGTGTATGAGATTGGTGGTAAGATTACCTGTGTATGTGTATTAGATTGGTGGTTAGGTAACATGTGGATGAAATTGGTGGTAAGTTTACATGTGTATGTGTATGAGGTTGATGGTAAGTTTACATGTGTATGTGTATTAGATTGTTGGTCAGGTAACATGTGGATGAGATTGGTGGTAAAGTTGCATGTATATGTTTGTGAGACTGGTTTAAGTTACATTTGTACCAGGGAACAGCTGGTCTGTCTGAGAGGTTTACAAGTGTGTCGAAGTGCTCCAATTGAAACATTACCAGATTACACCACACAGCATGATGAACTCACAGCTTGCTGTAATTTTACACTGAAATCACATACACTATATATACAAGTGTAGTGTTTTTTTGCTTGGTTGAAATTTCCTCCCATAAAAATGTTTTCCTTAATTTTTCATCAAGCTGAACACATCAATTTAATTTCCTCCAGAAACCCCACATATGCTTTGAAAGAGAAATGAAGACTAAATTTAGAATGGTAAAAGAATGATGTATGATCAATATGATATGCAAAATAATTTTCTCCAAACATTAGGAATTAAGAAAGTTGTCAATTCCCATTTCACCCAGGAAAAAGCCTGGAGTTTTGTTTTGAGGATGGAAGCTAGTTTACAGTAAGGTTGTTTTATCACAAATAATACTCATCAAGTTTTAAAGGATAACATTGACAGTTAGGTTGGACAAATACAAACAAAAGCATCTGGAAGTTTAATCATCTTTTGTTTGATATAATATCTTTAAACTAGAGGTCAGTTTAAAACAGCTATCAATGTTTGATCAAATTCTATCGTCCAGATTCCAGTGATAAACAATAATTCGTAAACATTAATGTGTTGTTTGTGATCCATGTTAAGGAAAAAATGATGTTATTGACGCACAGTGATATCCAATGACCTCGACCTATTTTCAAGGTAACAGGAGTTTTAATAGGTTAAAAAAGTCCAAACACCATCATCTAATTAACCATAATTCTAGAGCTATGATACTTGGGTGTGTGATGTATGCCAACAGATCAATGTATTGTTCTAGTTCATTGTGTACAGGTAAATGTCAACTCTAGTACTTAACCACTTCTATTGTTCACCAAGACATATTGTACACAACTTTTATATTTCATAGAGATTATATTTTGCTGAAATTTTAATCCTGCAGATTTGTTTCAAGAACAGTATTGTGAAAATTTGACCCTACAGAGTTTTTAAGCTTGAAACTCTAATACTAAAGATTTATATCTAAACTAAGCAGGGATTTCCCTTATGTAAATGAAACTGAATTCTAAACAGAATTTTTTTTTTTTTATTTATTTCTAGCAGACCACATGGTTTTATTCATCAAATTCTACATTAAACAGGAAAAGATAACACTAATGTTGCTCTCCTACATAGTAATTTTTCCCTAATTCCAGGAAAGTGGCACTTCTCAAAATACACAAGCTACATGTTATGATAATTACTGCAAATCAAGGTCAAATAATGAATAGAATGTTGTTGAATTAGCTACAAGTGGTCACAATGACATAATGATTAAGTGTCTTTGCTGTGAAGTATGTTTCATTGTATGTACGTAAATATACATTTATTATTTGTTCGCTATCAAAGAAGGTGAAGGTCACACGGTCACTGTTTAAGATTGATGAAGAAATTATTTATTTTTTCCTTTTTTCTTGTACCAAGTGCTTGTTTTATATATATATATATATATATTTGTTGTAAAACGAGCACTTCAATTTCACAATTGGGTTTTCTACAGGACAAACCCCAGAAACTACACAGTGGTGGTCAATAATGGTGTGACCAGGTCGGAGAACTTGTCAGGACTGATGAGTTTTGCTGTCAATGGAGACGAAACCAAGGTGGCATGGCCAGAGATGCTTGCAGATGAGGTACACAGAATTTCTACAAGAGACGATGAGGATATCACCGGACTGGAGGAATGCTTTAAAAAAGTGTGCAAGGTATGTTTGTCTTTCCCTAAAGAATTAAAATTTGTGATTGCATGCTTTATCAAACTCATGGTTTCCAGTTTGGATTCTTTTAAACTGTGAAAGCTGATTGAAAAGAGTGTAAAGCTTATTAGATGTTGTTGGGATCTGTAGGTGGTATAAAAGTTGACATCCTTGTACAGTGTAGATATGTTGTAATAATTATTCAATGTTGTATAAACCTTTGTGATAATAACTTATATTTTGATTTTGAAAATAGTTATAAGATTTAAATGAAAGAAAATATACAATACATTACTTAATATTAAAATCAAACGATTTTTCTAAATGTTGCCAAGATATCTGGTAGACAGGTGGGATTTTATGGCAAGAAAAACATTTCTTTAAAAAGCACTTCCTTCTCTGGGTTGAATTGACTAGAAAATCTGTCAATTTCTCAAAACTTTCTGTCAGTCTACCTTAGGAAGAGAGCTAGGATGAAGGTGATCTCTACCTAGCTAGGTTTTGGGTAATTAAATAGCTACTATAAATCAGAGGTATAAACTGTAACAGCTTCAGGGTGATGTGTACAGTCTGGGATCAGTGGCAGAAAGCATAAACAACATGCCACCGTCCTGATCACTCACGCTTATCTGTCCATGATTGAGGTCTGGGTAGCTTAATCCACCTACCCACTAAGCTGTTAGTTATTAATGCACCATGTAGATTATCTGGTACCAACTGGGGCTTTTATCTGTTATATTAATGCTCAATGTGCGTAGCACCAATGCAAAACATGTAAAAAAACCAAAATGTCAAATGGTGGCTCCTTCCGAGCTGTTTTCATTATAACTGGCCCTATGCAATTTCAATACAATATTTATAGAAATTTACTTTTAGTGTTGAAATCTCTATATTATAACGACATAACAGTGAACCACCGTGAATTGGGTAATGAAATGGTTAGGATTAGGATATCTAGATTGGCAGCTGACTAGATTCTTGTTTTAATTTTCTTCACAATACAGTCTGTGTAAGTGTGGAATGTTTCAATTAAAATCTGCCGTAATTGCTGTTGAATTTAGCACTCTTTGGATTCTTTTTATCCGTCAGCATTTTTTATTGTTTGATTGCTTGCAGAGCAATGTTGAGTCAATAAACAGTTTGCTGCCTTACCGAAAACAGAACCAGAGGGAACAGTACAGCACAGGTTTCCAAGTCAGGTGGGTAAATATTGGCCATGTGACCTCACACAGACAGGTACACACTACTTAAACATTGGACCTCCAATGATGATCCCAGCTGTGTGATATGACTACCAATGATATCTGACCCATGTTAGGATGGTTCCTGAAGGGTGAATATTTGGCCACCAATGATATTTTACCTCAGCTTTATGTTTTGGTCATTCTGGGAGGGTGAATATTTGGCCAACAATAATATTTTACCTCAGCTTTATGTTTTGGTCATTCTGGGAGGGTGAATATTTGGCCACCAATGATATTTTACCTCATCTTTAGGTTTTGGTCATTCTGAGAGAGTGAATATTGGCCACCAATGATATTTTACATCAGTTTTATGTTTTGGTCATTCTGGGAGGGTGAATATTTGGCCACCAATGATATTTGAACCCAGCTTTATGTTTTGGTCATTCTGGGAGGGTGAACATTTGGCCACCAATGATATTTTACCTCAGCTTTAGGTTTTGGTCATTCTGATAGAGTGAATATTGGCCACCAATGATATTTTACCTCTGTTTTATGTTTTGGTCATTCTGGGAGGGTGAATATTTGGCCACCAATGATATTTTACCTCAGCTTTAGGTTTTGGTCATTCTGAGAGAGTGAATATTGGCCACCAATGATATTTTACCTCAGTTTTATGTTTTGGTCATTCTGGGAGGGTGAATATTTGGCCACCAATGATATTTTATCTCAGCTTTATGTTTGTGTCATTCTGAGAGAGTCAATATTGGCCACCAATGATATTTTACCTCATCTTTATGTTTTGGTCATTCTAGGAGGGTGAATATTTGGCCACCAATGATATTTTACCTCAGCTTTATGTTTTGGTCATTCTGGGAGGGTGAATATTGGCCACCAATGTTATTTTACCTCAGCTTTATGTTTTGGTCATTCTGGGAGGGTGAATATTTGCCCACCAATGCTATTTTACCTCAGCTTTATGTTTTGGTCATTCTGGAAGGGTGAATATTTGGCCACCAATGATATTTGAACCCAGCTTTATGTTTTGGTCATTCTGGGAGGGTGAATATTTGGCCACCAATGATATTTTACCTCAGCTTTATGTTTTGGTCATTCTGAGAGAGTGAATATTGGCCACCAATGATCGCTGAGCCTTACTGTTTGTAAGGGCAGTCCTGGGAGGGTGAATATTTGGCCGCCAATGATATTTGACCCAAACTATGTGTTTTGGTCATTCTGGGAGGGTGAATATTTGGCCACCAATGATTGTTGACCCAAACTATGTGTTTTGGTCATTCTGGAAGGTGAATATTTGGCCACCAATGATAGTTGACCCAAACTATGTGTTTTGGTCATTCTGGGAAGGTGAATAGTTGGCCACCAATGATAGTTGACCCAAACTATGTGTTTTGGTCATTCTGGAAGGTGAATATTTGGCCACCAATGATAGTTGACCCAAGCTATGTGTTTTGGTCATTCTGGAAGGTGAATATTTGGCAACCAATGATAGTTGGCCCTAGCTATGTGTTTTGGCCATTCTGAGAGAGTGAATATTGGCCACCAATGATCGCTGAGCCTTGCTGTTTGTAAAGGCAGTCCTGGTAGGGTGATTATTTTACCACCAATGATAGTTGACCCCCACATGTGTAAGGGTGGTACTGGGATGAATATTGGACCACCAATATGATATTTGACCCCAGCTGTGTTTTAGGGTGGTGCTGGGATGAATATTGGACCACCAATGATAGTTGACCCCAGCTGTGTGTTAGGGTGGTACTGGGATGAATATTGGACCACCAATGATAGTTGACCCCCACATGTGTAAGGGTGGTGCTAGGATGAATATTGGACCACCAATGATAGTTGACCCCAGCTGTGTGTTAGAATATTTGGCCACCAATGATAGTTGACCCCACCTGTGTGTTAGGGTGGTGCTGGGGTGAATATTGGACCACCAATCATATTTGACCCCCCACATGTGTAAGGGTGGTACTTGGATGAATATTGGAACAAACAATGGTAGTTGACCCCAGCTGAGTGTTAGGGTGGCACTGGGATGAATATTGGACCCCCAATGATAGTTGACCCCCACTGTGTTAGGGTGGTACTGAGATGAATATTGGACCACCAATTATAGTTGACCCCCACGTGTGTAAGGGTGGTGCTGGGATGACTATTGGACAACCAATGATAGTTGACCCCACCTGTGTGTTAGGGTGGTGCTGGATGAATATTGGACCACCAATCATATTTGACCCCCCACATGTGTAAGGGTGGTGCTGGGAGGAATATTGGACCACCAATGATAGTTGTCCCCAGCTGTGTGTTAGGGGGGGGCTGGGATGAATATTGGACTACCAATGATAGTTGACCCCAAGCTGGGTGTTAGGGGGGTGCTGGGGTGAATATTGGACCACCAATGATAGTTGTCCCCAGCTGTGTGTTAGGGTGGTGCTGGATGAATATTGGACCACCAATTATAGTTGACCCCCACATGTGTAAGGGGGGTGCTGGGATGACTATTGGACAACCAATGATAGTTGACCCCAAGCTGTGTGTTAGGGTGGTGCTGGGGTGAATATTGGACCACCAATGATAGTTGCCCCCCACATGTGTAAGGGTGGGGCTGGGATGAATATTGGACTACCAATGATAGTTGACCCCAGCTGGGTGTTAGGGTGGTGCGGGGATGAATATTGGACCACAAATGATAGGTGACCCCCACATTCGTAAGGGTGTTCCTGGGATGAATATTGGACCCCCAATGATAGTTGACCCCAAGCTGGGTGTTAGGGGGGTGCTGGGGTGAATATTGGACCACCAATTATAGTTGACCCCAGCTGTGTGTTAGGGAGGTGCTGGGATGAATATTGTACCACCAATGATAGTTGACGCCAGCTGTGTGTTAGGGTGATAATGGGATGAATATTGGACCACAAATGATAGGTGACCCCCACATTCGTAAGGGGGTTGCTGGGATGAATATTGGACCACCATTGATAGTTGACCCCAGCTGGGTGTTAGGGTGGTGCGGGGATGAATATTGGACCACAAATGATAGGTGACCCCCACATTCGTAAGGGGGTTGCTGGGATGAATATTGGACCACAAATGATAGTTGACCCCCACATTCGTAAGGGTGTTGCTGGGATGAATATTGGATGAATATTGGACCACAAATGATAGGTGACCCCCACATTCGTAAGGGGGTTGTATTGGACCAACAATGATAGTTGACCCCAGCTGTGGGTTAGGGTGGTACTGGGATGAATATTGGACCACCAATGATAGTTGACCCCCCCACATGTGTAAGGGTGGTACTTGGATGAATATTGGAACAAACAATGATAGTTGACCCCAGCTGTGTGTTAGGGTGGTACTGGGATGAATATTGGACCACCAATGATAGTTGACTCCAGCTGTGTGTTAGGGTGGTGCTGCGATGAATATTGGACCACAAATGATAGTTGACCCCCACATGTGTAAGGGTGGTGCTGGGATGAATATTGGATTACCAATGATAGTTGACCCCAGCTGTGTGTTAGGGTGGTGCTGGGATGAATATTGGACCACCAATGATAGTTGACCCCCCCACATGTGTAAGGGTGGTACTTGGATGAATATTGGAACAAACAATGATAGTTGACCCCAGCTGTGTGTTAGGGTGATAATGGGATGAATATTGGACCAACAATGATAGTTGACCCCAGCTGTGTGTTAGGCTTATAATGGGAGGAATCTTGGACCAACAATGATAGTTGACCCCAGCTGTGTGTTAGGTTGGTACTGGGATAAATATTGGACCACAAATGATAGTTGACCCCTACAGTGTTAGGGTGGTACTGGGATGAATATTGGACCACCAATGATAGTTGACTCCAGCTGTGTGTTAGGGTGGTGCTGCGATGAATATTGGACCACAAATGATAGTTGACCCCCACTGTGTTAGGGCGGTACTGGGATGAATATTGGACCCCCAATGATAGTTGACCCCAGCTGTGTGTTAGGGTTATAATGGGATGAATATTGGACCAACAATGATAGTTGACCCCAGCTGTGTGTTAGGTTGGTACTGGGATGAATATTGGACCCCCAATGATAGTTGACCCCAGCTGTGTGTTAGGTTGGTACTGGGATGAATATTGGACCACCAATGATAGTTGACCCAGGCTGTGTGTTAGGGTGGTGCTGGGATGAATATTGGACCACCAATGATAGTTGACCCAGGCTGTGTGTTAGGGTGGTACTGGGATGAATATTGGACCAGCAATGATAGTTGACCCAGGCTGTGTGTTAGGGTGGTGCTGGGATGAATATTAGACCAACAATGATAGTTGACCCCAGCTGTGTGTTAGGGTGGGGCTGGGATGAATATTGGACCACAAATGATAGTTGACCCCCCCTGTGTTAGGGTGGTACTGGGATGAATATTGGACCACCAATGAAAGTTGACCCAGGCTGTGTGTTAGGGTGGTGCTGGGAGGAATATTGGACCACCAATGATAGTTGACCCCAGCTGTGTGTTAGGGTGGTGCTGGGATGAATATTAGACCAACGATGATAGCTGACCCCAGCTGTGTGTTAGGGTGGTACTGAGATGAATATTGGACCACCAATGATAGTTGACCCCAGCTGTGTGTTAGGGTGGTGCTGGGATGAATATTGGACCACAAATGATAGTTGACCCCACATGTGTAAGGGTGGTACTGAGATGAATATTGGACCACCAATGATAGTTGACCCCCACATTCGTAAGGGTGTTGCTGGGATGAATATTGCACCACAAATGATAGTTGACCCCTTCTGTGTTAGGGTGGTACTGGGATGAATTTTGGACCACCAATGATAGTTGTCCCCAGCTGTGTGTTAGGGTTGTGCTGGGATGAATATTGCACCACAAATGATAGTTGCCCCCCACTGTGTTGGGTGTGTTAGGGTGGTGCTGGGGTGAATAGTGGACCACAAATGATAGTTGCCCCCCAGCTGTGTGTTAGGTTGGTACTGGGATGAATATTGGACCACAAATGATAGTTGACCCCAGGTGTGTGTTAGGGTGGTACTGGGAGGGTGAATATTTGACCACCAATGATAGTTTACCCAAGTTATGTGTTTTGGTCATTCTGGTAGGGTGAATACTTGGCCAACAATGATATTTGAACCCAGCTTTATGTTTTGGTCATTCTAAGAGGGTGAATATTTGGCCACCAATGATCGCTGAGCTATTCTGTTTGTAAGGGCAGTCCTGGGAGGGTGAATATTTGACCACCAATGATAGTTTACCCCAGTTATGTGTTTTGGTCATTCTGGGAGGTGAATATTTAGCCACCAATGACAGTTGGCCCTAGCTATGTGTTTTGGCCATTCTGAGAGAGTGAATATTGGCCACCAATGTTCGCTGAGCCTTGCTGTTTGTAAAGGCAGTATTGGGAGGGTGATTATTTGACCACCAATGATAGTTGACCGNGGTGGTGCTGGGATGAATATTGGACCACAAATGATAGTTGACCCCCACTTTGTAAGGGTGGTACTGAGATGAATATTGGACCACCAATGATAGTTGACCCCAGCTGTGTGTTAGGGTGGTGCCCTCTACCCTCTTGTTCTCAAATAACCAGATCTGTCAGTGATAGCAGTTTGATTAGGACCAGTCTTGAATTGTCTGTGGAGTTTGAACGGCTAAAAAAACTATCATCTGTACATTTAGATATAAAAATTGGTGCAAAGAAATTTAGTGTAATAAATCCCCGACTGTAATAACACTGGGTCCTGAGAATTGCTTTCAGAGGTGGTTATACTACATGATGGTACAACTATATGAAGTCTAATCTCTGTCTTGGATAATGATGTGTCCCAGAGAGATTTAATTAATGGAATCGGCCAGAAGATGATTGCTTTTCATGTTTACTTGACAGAAGTTACAGAAATCCCAACAGAGCGGAGATCATGGCTGATTTCAACAACATGTCCCGACGACCTCGCACAGTGCCTGCTAACCGACCAATAGTGCCTAGCCCGTACTTTTTCAAATACTACAACGGCCCATACAACAAGGGGAAGGAGGCAGACAGAGAGAAGCCCTCCACAGCCTCACAGTTTGAAAGTAGGTCAAACCAGACATCTTTTAATTTAGTTATTAAAGAGTGAACATGCTATTTTTCTGTTTTTTTCTTTGATACCTAAAAAGAATTGTGAATCAGTTTATGCAAAAGTAACATGCTTTTCTTTCAGATATGAAAGTGCATATCTTTTTTTTTAAATTGGTACTTATTAATCTTCGAAAGCAAGAAAAAAAAAAATAGAAAATAAAAGTGTACTTTGATTGAAATATTTTCATTTTTTGAACAATTAGAAATGTTCATTTAAAAAAATCTCACAGAAAAATACCTTGATGACGCAAATAATTTTCTTTGATTGTTTTAAATTTTCTGGAAATGTGACTGAGGAAAAAATTTTATGCCTGTGTTTTTGCAAAATGTTATTGATCTAACCAAAAAATGTTTAGCTGCACACTTAAACTGATTAATTTATTCATTGAATATTTAACAGGGAAAGATACAATAAAAAAACTACATCTGTCCATGTTGATAATTTTTCTTGGATTTGTTTTTTTATACCTGATAAAAGGAAAACTAAGCCTCAGTGAAATTATTGTTATTGATTATTTTCAATGTTACAAATTATAGGTAGTTAAGCTATCAAAATAAGTGTTATATCATTATGTTCAATGTGGCTGGTAGAACGGAAAATAGAAATACATGCAAATGCACTCGAGATTTAAGCTTATGATTTTCATTCTTAGTGTGTGGTTCTCATTTATAAAGAAAATCACATTATTTTTTCATTATTATATTTTCATTTCAAGGATGATTTGAATTACGGTTATTTAATTAAGCACTTAGAGCCATGATATTATTCCTTGGTTAGTACATAAAGGTCATGTCCATCAAGTGTACGGCGACCTCCAGGTGATTATAATACCACATGTGATAGGTTGACCTTGAGAATCATTGTATGTCTTATTAATGGGAGTAAATGGATAGAGAATGTTGGTTGTATCTTTATCCTAGTCTGGTAGCAGTCTGTCTGTCTGGTCTGGCACATCATGCCTTCCTTGCTCTTCTCAACCTGCCTCACTCTAAATCAGACTATTTACCAGTACCTGGTTAAAATCATGGTTATTACCAGTACCTGGTTAAAATCAGCCCTAAATAACCCTGGATTTGTAGGTGACTAATTAGTTTGGATCAATAATGTAGATATTTTATATGTTATACAGAAAATAGTCTGCACTGTTACTGCTGTGTATTACAGATTTACTCCATCACAATCTATGTTGTTTGTCATAAATGTCCTCCATGGTTTATATTTGTACAAAAATGGTTGGTTTCTTCAATAAAATCCATCATTTGGCAACATTTATGTATCAACATGTCACAACCTGCCTCTTTGTCAAGGTTCTGGTTTCACAGTCATAGCTTGACAGAGAGACCAGTTGGTATATATAAAGTAAAGATTGACACTTATATGTTAACCCATTCACCCCTAAAGTCACATTTGAACCTTACCAAATCAATGACTGAGCAAGTCCAGTTTAAAATTGTAGGGGTGAATGAGTTAAGTTGCCTTTTACTTATTTTCTCCATCGAGGTGTATTTTAGCTGCCTACTATTATTAGACTTGTCAGCCTATCTTATTGATGGACAGATTTTGATTTTGATTGAATTATTCCATTGCATTTTTCCTTTGTTTGATCAACTGGCATATTCTTTTGTACATGAAATTGTATGATGTCTGCTTTACTTAACTGTTCCATTACTAATCATGATGCAGTTACACTTCGGTTGTTTTACAATGCTATTGCCAGCTTTTCACCAGAATATATTGTTTTATGGATTCGTCAATTTCAAGAAAATGACCTTCATACTGATGTCAAAACAAGAATACTTTAAAGTCAACAAACTTGCTTGCTAGTTACCTCCTGTGTTCTTGTTCATGGTGTACCTGACGTGCAGGTATTGCTCTGTACTTGTTAATTGCCCTTTGATTTGCTACGTATTTGTTAAATGCCACCTCTAACTTATCTGTACAAGTTCCCTGTGACGTTTAGGCTAACTCTATCGTCATTCACGTTCAACCTTTGTCTGTTCTGTATTTGTTGCCCACACATCCGGCTGTATATGAGATAAGTCGTTCAGAGCTTTCACAGGTCCGGGCTTACATATCCTTCTCTGACGTTATGAATCCCATTGAGGTGGTCTGTATCACATATTGCTTTGATATTCATTTTACGTACAAATTAGTGTGCAACTGCTGCATGTTTTATCAGAGACTTTCTCTTTATAGCACGTCTTTAAAACCAATACTTAGTCAGTAGAACAGAACGGATAAATTACTACATCAAAGGTATTTTGGCAGTACCTAGTGGGTTTTTTTACGGTCAGATATGTAAATCTATAATTAATAAGTATGCTGTGCTCTGATTGGTCAATTTCCAAACTTTAGTTTCCGCAAGATAACTTGCTTAAATGTAGTTCCATTTTGAAGAAACTCAGTGTGTATGTACATTATATAAAGACTGAGGCTCAGTTGAGCAAATTCTGCACACAATTTATTAGTGTACTGTGCTCTGATTGGTCCTTTTCTGAACTTACAGGTGAGCAAAACCTGGACATAATTGATTAGCATATGCATACTGCTATATGATTTGTAGACAATTTCTGCACAATAACTTACCTAGTAAATTATGACAGGATTCTGACAAGTCTTTGTCAATATTTATAATTTGTCTAATAATGAAATATTCCAGTAATTAATGAGCAATAGAAATGCCTGTTGTGTTAATTGTGTAAGATGAATCAAATATTGGCGAAAAGGGGCAATTTCCATTTTCATGGTTGGACATACACAAACAGAGACAATTCCAATGAAAATGATAAAGGTCATAGAGGATATAACATGAAATATATATATATATCCTTCAACCTAAGTTGGTCAAGTACAGTCTGTTTTTTCCTTCCATCACATTCCAGATTTAATTCTCAAATTTCGTGTGTTGTATAAAATTTCTAATGAAGTATATTGTTCCCTAATATTAATATTCTATTAATGAACACATGGCTATAGTTGTATTTAATCATCTTAAATAGGATAATGATGTTTTTGTCTTTTCTGTACTGTAACTTTTGCTATTCCCACTATGTGATGGCCTTTCATTATAGAATATGCCGGTTGAGTTAGCAAAGAGATCTGACACACCCAGACTCTACTGGCTAGATTTCCAATGTTCTAATTTTCTAGTCCACTGCTACTGTCAGTGGAAAATTCAGTCAAGTTAACCCTATATATGATATTTTTTTACACAGACCAATTTTCCACGCTGAACGGAACTTCCAAGATAATAGCCGCCCCTGGCGCTGGTGTGCTGTCGCGTTCACTCAAGTCCCGATCCGCTGCCTGGAGTGAGAATGATCTTAAGCTTCACACAAAACTTCATGTAAGATCTAATATACAGTCTTAATTGGAGGGCTGTCACTCCGTCACTGGTAACAAACTTACTGATTGGGGAGAAAGCTTGTTACAACTGTACCAAGGGGTCTATTTTAGACACTAAATGTAGACATATTTTTGTTGTGATTATCAAGCTTTTATGGTCTCAAAAAAGATGACAGATTTTTTGAAAGGTTTCAGTTTTAAGGGTATTTTCCTTACATCTGTTTGTCAATATCCTTCGTGAACATGTTTGGTGTTTTAACACCACCATAATCTGCAGTTTATTCAATCTGAAGTATATTCACATATCTTTTTTAATCAATATACCATAGTTTGATGGGTCGTATAAAGAAATAAATGTACAAAACATGATGAGATTGAGATTGTCTGTCATTGGCATACTGTAACATTTTCAATATTACAAAACAATTATTTTATGTTGAGGCTATAGCTAAACAGATGCAAACAGGAATATTGAATATTGAATCTGTCCTACTGCCATTTCCTCAGCTTCACAGTTTTTAAAAATTGTTACATGTATTTTTCTGGGGTATTTTTCAGGGATATATTTTCTGGGGTATCATTTGTTATTCAGATGTTTTCTTGTGATTTCAGACTCATCCTGCGGTATACATAGTTTTCTTTTGCATGGAAAACAAATGTCTATTTTTTTCCTGAGTTCTGATCCTTGACATCTAATACTAATAGAATGTATGTTTGATCTAAATTAGAGGAAAATATGTTTATGTGAATGGTTGTTGGTTTTCAAGTTTCTTTTCTTTTTTTATTTCTGCTTTTCAGCTCATCCTGGATATTATTGATTTTCTTTTGGATGAAAATTACAACATTTCTCATGTTTTTCACTAAATTATGTAATTTGAAATATATTCTGTTACTGGTACTTTTAATTAATACAAAATGAATGTTTGACTTAGATTTTGAAGTTTCAAGTAGATATGGTTTGTGAAATTCTTGTTGTTGTGATTTAGGTTGTAATTTTATTTTTTTATTTTTCTCTTCTACCCTACGTCTTTTTATTTCTGAACTGGTCCTTGTCAGTTGTGGTCTTATGGGACCTTGTTGTGTCAATTGGCCTTTAAACCATAGACAAACAAACAAACAAACAAACAATCAAAATGCTGTACAACTTCACACTAACACCACTGCTGCAATGTCAACACTTGCTAAAATTCATTTGTTTTTTACTTGAACAGGTCATTAATTATGTAATCTTTATATGCTAGATTTTGTGGGGAATTTGTCCCAATTAGTGTGGAGTGTGGTTTCTACTTTTAACCCTATTTATCTTGAAAATTCACCATGGCAATATCTATGTAATTTAATTGATTGGTGTCTTTCTTGTAGATAACTTAATATCGTAATATATCACATTTTGAAACATCACTGTTGAGATGCAGCAATTGAAACAGTGCTAAAGTGTTATTACAGACAGATATTACATCCATTTAACTGTTTTGGAGCGGAAATTCATCAGACACGTTCGTTTCAATGTTTGATACTTTTTAGGGATATTAAAGATAAAAGCCTTCCTGTTGTAACTGTAAAATAGTCTTAACTCTTTTTGGTATAAAGAATCAACTACATGGAAATAACATCAAGTTATATATACTTTCATTTTAGTAAATTGAGTTTGGGCTGGAGAGTGTCAATGTTTAAGTAATTGCCTGCGGTAGAGATGTCTAGAGAGGTACAATAGCAGTTGTTCTATGCACTTGGACAGAAGTATAGCAATGAATCTTGATTATCTGCAGTGGAAAACTTAGAAGCATTACAGAACATCCAACTAGAGGAGGATAGATATTACTGTAGATGTGGGACTGTTTCTGTCTGTAGTTGATAGTAGGGTATTTTCAATTTGCTCATGTTTTGTATTTTTTCAATAACCATGGCTGTTAATTTTTCTCCAAACTTTGTAGATGTCTCATACGATGTGTATCATTTTGAAATAAATTGAATCCAAGCAGCTATCATGAAAGATACACTGATATTTTAGTAATGTAAGGTGTTCTTCTATTTGTCTAGAATATGGTAACTACTTATAAAAATGAAACAATTTAGGGAGATGTATCAAGCATCTCTGCATGGCAAATATGAAACTGTTCGCTACAACTGTTAACATTTGTGTGCCTTTTTAGGGAAGGTGTTGATGAAGTCTCATAGTACGTTATCTATGGTATTTTATTTTTATATCATAGCCCCATAAATTGTGGTGTGATACCTATGTCATAAATCGTGGTGTGATACTTCTGTCCTGCGTATGAATCTTGATTCTCCATAAATCGATGGATTGTAAAAAGAACAATCAAATGGTTCTCATGCACGAGGTTATATAGAGCTAATTGTGTACGGCATTTTGCACCTAATATGGTTTTGTTTGGTTGCCATGGCTACATTTGCACTACAGAGTTGTATTAGGTACTGGTGGCTTGTCATCTGTCAGCAGAGCTACGATTGACGACAGGAAATATGTATCACACAATGTCTTTGACGTCACTACTCATTCCTTTCAACAACAAATGATATAGTTGTAACAGGGGTAAGGAAGACCTCCATACCGAACTGTACAGAGTAATTAATATACTGTACAGTTGTGTCTATCATTGATGGAATTACAATCAAAGGTAACTGAGAGGGTACAAAGACCTATATATATCATAGAAGGGTACACATCGGTACACTGTAACTAATAATACATTTAGGCCTATACATTCCAAGGATCAATACAATAGGAGGGGAGGGTCTACAATCAAGAGATAAAACTTTAGGGTACAAAACACTTAAACATAGGGTAAAAAGTGTACAGTCAAACAATATAAATTTTAAAATTATTATTCAGTTCAAAGGGTACAAACTCCTGTACTGTTAAAAGGTTCAACTGTAGATAGTTATAGGGATTGTACAGCTAGGATCAAAATGTAAAAATGTATAAAAGTATAATGCTGTTAAAGAATACATATTTGTGTAATCTTCACAATAATTTGGCTTATATCAGTTGGGAATGTCAATTAGTTAGTTTTTGGTACTGTTAGAGTTTATTTTTATAAATATATACCAAGATAAGATACGTAGTTGTATAAACTTACATTGATAGTTTGGTAAACCTTTCCAATCGAGCCGTAATATTGATTTTCTTTACCTTGGTAATTACCAATGTACTGCGGGTATATGGGCCTACACTACAAGCTCTCAATCTCTACCGTATGCTAAGGTGTATCTCTCCTTTGTAGGGTACTCCCTCGGAACACATCGATGACGACACAGACATCAGAGGTAAGTACTATTGTATTAGTATAATATGCAGTATATAAGTTGTGATGTATCTTAATTAGTCTGATTGGTTAATTTTGATTTTGAAATAAGAGTAAATGCATTATACAGGTTGATGAACAAGGATTCATCTGTAAAACAAAGATATTAGTTTCTGAACATAAATATCTAGAAAGCAAAAGTTTTGGATTGTTTATTCCAGGTTGAAGAGGATTAAATCTGCATTATTTTGTTAATATGATACCCATTTCATTAAGTCTGTGTTATTGACAGGTTAATATCTTTCCAGCCTTAACTATGTTATAACTAAGACATCCCATTTGTTACTTTTGTGTCAACTGTGGGTTTTCTATGTTTCAGACCACTTTAATTTCAAAAATTTAATGACCCATTTAAATATTGTGCCATCTAAGATTTTCAGTCCTTTAATACATCCATATGTTTACACTAGGGGTGGGGGCTTATCTGCTGTTGAATATGGTATACTTCATTAAGTGTACTTCGATCAGTGTTTCAGCTTCAAGGTTTTTCTGTTCTTTACTTGAACACGTAATATTATTTATGTTGAAAGATCATAATTAAGGTATAATTATGTAAATAAAGTCGCCATTACTGAAATATTATACCTTTTTTTTTTTTTGGCTGCTTTCATGATTTACAAAATTAATTCCAACAAACAACACTGTTTTGGTGCTGTTAAAGTATTTAATGTCCTCAGATCAGTTCTTTGTAAAAACTTACTTCAACCTGAAGAATGTCAGTGCTGTCTGCAGGTTTGCATTCTATAAATCTACAATACAAATGATTGAATTATATGTTTATTGTAATAAAACAAGAAGAAATGGTTAGTCTAATTCTGTGTTTTGAACATGTGTCCTGTGATGACTTCCTGTGTTGTATACTGAAGGATTAAACTAACAAATTGGTGAATGCATCATACACCTGTAAAGTGTGTATCACCTGGGAAATGTAACAATATATGTATGCTGATTTCACATATTCATAATTAAATTTGTCTTACAGGATTTAAGAAATTGATGCTTCCGGTCATTGTCACACAAAAAAACACCAAGAGGAAATGTCTAGCATTCAGTTTAAAAAAAATTCATTTCCATATAAATGTCACTTACATTAAATGTAAGGTTTTAAGAACTTAGATAAATGTCATGTACATTGCCTCCAGAATATATACAGTTCAGATGAATGTCATGTACTACCTTCAGTGTGTAAGTAGTTCAGATGAATGTCATGTACATTGCCTCCAGAATATATACAGTTCAGATAAATGTCATGTACATTGCCTCCAGAATATATGCAGTTCAGATGAATGTCATGTACTACCTTCAGTGTGTAAATAGTTCAGATGAATGTCATGTACATTGCCTCCAGAATATAAACAGTTCAGATGAATGTCATGTACATTGCCTCCAGAATATATACAGTTCAGATAAATGTCATGTACATTGCCTCCAGAATATATACAGTTCAGATAAATGTCATGTACATTGCCTCCAGAATATATACAGTTCAGCTAAATATCATGTACATTGCCTCCAGAATATGTAGAGTTCAGATGAATGTCATGTACCCTACCTTCAGAGTGTAAACAGTTCAGATGAATATCATGTACACTTCCTCCAGAATATGTACAGTTCAGATGAATGTCATGTAGACTACCTCCAGAATATGTACAGTTCAGATGAATGTCATGTACACTACCTTCAGTGTGTAAACAGTTCAGATGAATGTCATGTACACTACCTTCAGTGTGTAAATAGTTTAGATGAATGTCATGTACACTACCTCCAGAATATATACAGTTCAGATGAATGTCATGTACATTACCTCCAGATTGTGTACAGTTCAGATGAATGTCATGTACACTACCTTCAGTGTGTAAACAGTTCAGATGAATGTCATGTACATTGCCTCCAGAATATCTACAGTTCAGATGAATGTCATGTACACTACCTTCAGTGTGTAAATAGTTTAGATGAATGTCATGTACATTACCTCCAGAATATGTACAGTTCAGATGAATGTCATGTATACTGCCTCCAGAGTATGTGTACAGTTCAGATGAATGTCATGTACAATACCTCCAGTATGTGTACAGTTCAGATGAATGTCATGTACAATACCTTCAGTGTGTAAACAGTTCAGATGAATGTCATGTACATTGCCTCCAGAATATATACAGTTCAGATGAATGTCATGTACATTGCCTCCAGAATATCTACAGTTCAGATGAAAGTCATGTACACTACCTTCAGTGTGTAAACAGTTTAGATGAATGTCATGTACATTACCTCCAGAATATGTACAGTTCAGATGAATGTCATGTACACTATCTTCAGTGTATAAACAGTTCAAATGAATGTCATGTACACTACCTCCCGAATATATACAGTTCAGATGAATGTCATGTACATTACCTCCAGTGTGTAAACAGTTCAGATGAAGGGGGGGGGGGGGGGGGGGGGGGTTGATTTGGCATGATGGTTAACTAAAAGGATGAAATTAATATTCGTCATACTTTCTGGGCTCAAATAAACATGTTACCTGTGTGCATACCCAGGTAATCTAGCCTTTAGTAGGTGTCGGGCGATGTTTACCTGTGTCCAGGAGAACCAGCCTCATTAGCAAAACTCTCTGCTGTTAAACAGGTATATAATTTGAAATTACTTAAGTATGATGAATGAGGAAAAAAAAAAAGTTTTATTTGCATAAATGATCGTAAATAGGAGGAAAAGTGTTTCATTGACAGTATGCATAAAAGGCCTGAAAAGCATGGAGCCAAGCTGTAGTGTTTGTGAGATCAAGATACTGATTTTTTGCAAGGTGAAAATCAACACTGCATGTTATTTGTATGTAGGGGTCAGAGACGTCTTGAAGCTTTGTACTCCAGATCAAAGTAGATGTACAGGTAAATGAAATATGACTAGGGTTCCACACGCCCATGTACGTCATACGAATGACAATGTTTATTGTTTAGTCCTCTTCAAATCAACATACTTGTGACAGGAAACCTTGTGGCTTTCTTCAAATCTACATGAGTGAAAATCAGTCTGAATATAAAAGACTAGCATTTTGTATAAAACAGATTCCAATGTAAAAAATAAAACTTTATCCTATTTATGTGAGTTTATCGAAATGTAACTCATGACATATTAAACAGGAGAAGGACCAGACGGGAAAGTTTATACAACCGCTGGATTCATTGTTTGTTGTGTTGACTGAGTTTCACTAAGTAGTCAACAGCAAGCTAAACTTAAAGAAGACAGACCCAGTGATCTGTGTAAAATCTCCAGTGATGAAGAGTTCCAATATTTTCTTCACCTTTCTGTCTTAGTCTGGTTTGGTTTGTTTGTGCTTTACATCCTATTAAAAGCTATGGTTCTTTAAGGACGGGCCAGGTTTTGATGGTGGAGAAAAACTGGAGTAATTTGAGAAAAACCACAGACCTGCAGGAGTATTTGGCAACTGCTCTGCATAAGCCTCAAACTCAATCACCTAGTGGTGAAGGGCTATAGTGATCGTAGACAGTCAGACCTTTCACACCACAGCCCCTTCTGACTTAGTGGGCATTTAATATAGCTATATTACTAATCTTTGGGTGCAGCATGTACCTTTTAGTGCAATATGTGTTTTACATAACTGATTAGATTGATTTTTATTTACCTTTTAACAGATATACTAACTCATTAAAAGACTGTCATATTAACTTACTTACAGATTAGTCAACTAAATGAATATTTGAAATGGAAAAAAAACAAACAAGTAAAAGCTATGTTTTGAGGTAGAACACAAAGGACTCACATTCCTATCATCCCTAACTATCCAATGTTTTCTAATCTGTTGACAAAGAAATTGACCTCAATTCTTCTTACGAGCGACAATTGTAATTCAAAATATTTGTTAACTTGCCATTTAGTCTGAGAATTTCTTTATTTAAGGAAATGTGTTTCATTTCCATGGGAACTGATTCCTAAGGGTTTTAAGTGTGTTTCCAGCACTCCTTTAATCAAATGCATGTGTGCACTGATGTGGTTTATGCTACTGCACAATTTGCTAGCTAGAGACAGCCGCCATTAATGGAAAAACGTGGTAAAATTTGTCAAGGGTCTAGCTTAGGAAATGTTGTATAATGTTTAAGTTTGTGTAAACATAAAAAATTGGTGTACCTTCAAAAGTTACACAACCCCTTTAAGTAACCATGTACATGTTTTCCAACATATATTCAATAATGAACATATCTCATATCTCATATCCAAATGAGTCTGGTTCATTTATGTAAGTCTCCACTAATCTGGTTGTCCAGCTATCCAATCACTACTAATCAGATGCCCCCCGATTTTCAACCACCACTTATTATTCTACCACCACTAATCTGGTTGTCCGTTATTAGGCCAGGGTTAAAGGAGGACCGAGTTAATTTTCTTTTCATACTCAAAATATCACTGGAACTTTAAACTGGAAACACAGCTGGAAACACAGCCTGTGTTTCCAGTTAAAAGTTCCAGTGATATTTTGTCAGGTCAGGTAGTGAGGTGTACAGAGCTTGAGTGTAATGTGGTCCACTATGGCCTTGTTATGGATACAACATTTTGTTGAAAAAATATTTTTGCCTCACGTAATTTTACCTCACTTTTCTCTCTGATCTCAGCTGTGATACACAGTTCATTTATTCTTTATATGATCCCTCCCCTCCCCTTCCATTCCATTCAAATTATGTCTATCATAGAGATTAGTGGAAAAGTCCTCTAGACATTAATATGTTAAGTTGAAGAGTTAAATGTGCCTAATGGTTATTATAAATAGAGATTGCTATTGTACTTTTAATCTCATTAGTAGTAAATGGGTTATTAATCAGGGCCCCTCACTTCATGATTCAGTATTTGTATGTGTGACCTGTACATGGGATATAAAAGTCTATGTTCTTATACACATGGTAACATCTAAACCTACTGGTCTCAATCGAATGTATACATACAACATATGGA